TTGCCTATTTTTGAACTTTATGAACATGAACTTTTACATTATGCATTATTTTGTGTCTAGATCCTTTCACTCAACATTGTATTTTTGAGATTTCTCCATAGTGTTGTACGTAATAATGATGCATTCATTCTTATTGCTGTGGTCTTCTATTTCATTTTTGAATATGCAACAATTTATCTATCCATCCTAGTGCTTTGGGGAACATGCATAGTTTCCAGTTTTGAGTTATTAGAAAAAATATTGCTATGAATGATTTGTACAAATATTTTGTTTTATACATATGTGCTTTTCTATTGGGTATATATACAAAGTCTATCCAAAAGGTATCCAGCCATAGAGTATGAAAAATAGAGACATTTATTGAAGAAGATACAAAACACAAGAAACATTGTACATAGGACAACGATGCCTCAGTCCACTTCAAAGTAGGCACCTTGGGACCTCACACAGTTCTCCTGATTGCTGTCAGCTGCCCCATTATATTTTCCTGAATCTCATCTACAGTCTAAAATCTCTCCCCTTTCAAAGGTGACTTTAGTTTTGGGAAAAGCCAGAAATCACAGGGCACCAAATCTGGACTGTAGAGGGGCTGAATCACCTGCATGGTTTGATGTTTTGCCAAAATACTCCACACAAGACATGACGCATGAGTGGGTAGATTGTCCTGATGAAGCTGCCAATCACCAGTTGCCCATAGCTGCAGCCTTCTGAATTATCTGAATAATTTCCATGGAGGAAAGTTCAAGTTTAATGCAAAATCTGATGCATATTCATTGCTCTGCTCGCCCAGTCATTTTGAACGTGATAGCCACACAGTACAGATGCTTACTCAACAGTGTCTACTGCTCCGATGGACTAGTACAGTGAAGTCATCATTGTTCACGCATTGCATTCTAGTCCACTCTCTTTGGCAGTCCAGTTATATGAATGTTACACAAACCATTCTTGTCATATTAACAATGGCTGGAATTTTTCTGGACAGACCTCGTACATTTTCCTACATGGTCATCTATAACATGTGAGGGTTGCAATTGTACATTCCCACAAAGTTGATATAGTCCTCCTTTTTTAGTTTCAAGCATTCCAGTGAGTAATCAGTAGTATCACCCTGTGGTTTAATTTGTATTTCCCTGATGACCAATAAAAATAAAACATTTTTTCCTTTGTCTACTGAAAAAAGAAAATAAATTCCATATTCCCAGCATAAAATGTTTCATGATTTGTTAAAGAAAAGTACAGTATTTATTAAGAATTAGGCTTATTAAGTTTTTTGGGAAGGGAGGGAGGAAAGCTCTGTTAGAGGAACTAATGGAAAATGTATATGCATAACCACATTTAGAAAAAAAACAGAAAACTACTGTACTCTGTAGCTGCTAGGAAAGCAAACATTTTGCATCCAGGTGTCATTAGCAACTCTGGTAATGCAGGGCTCTTTATAGCTCAGTTCAGGATAGTATGTACCAACAGCTGAACCCTACTTGGTTATACAAATGCATCTAAGTCTGTTGCTTCTGGAATGTCACAGGGATAATTTGCAATCAAGTCAAAATAGGGCTATGGTAATGCAAATTCTGAGACCTGCTTTCTGACAGCCCAGCTGCCTCCTCCAGAAGCTGGACAGTAGTCCGAAGGTGAGCGTTCCTTTCTGTGCATTTATTTCTTCCCCAGTCCTCAACTCCCTATAGCTCTGAAGGTTTCTGGAAACTTTAAATAAGATTCTGTCCACAGTTCTTGGGATGTTATGTATGAACAGCCCAAATTATGGCTAAAAATACCTTCATTTTGGCACCTCTGTACAACCTGTTCTTCTAGGAACCCCTTTCCCTATCTAGCCCCTCAGCCTTCTTTTTTCTCTGCCCCCCCCGCCCCGTATTCAGAGACCAGCCTTTCTCTCCTCTGCCCAACATCCCATTCTGTCAGCCCGTTTCCACTAAAAGTTAGAAAACCCAGCTTGATGAACTTTTACTGTGTTGTGAATGACTAATAACCATCCTCCAACACACACACACACACACACACACACACACACAGTACCCTTCCTTGGTAATTGCAGGCTGAAGAGAATATAGGCTGCCCAGATTTGATGACCTGTACTCAGCAAAAGGGAGCAACCCCCCAAGTGTGGCATTGAGCTAAGTGTTAGCAGACTCATTAATGAAGCAGTCTAAAATGATTGCCTGGGGGACAACTGTCTTTTTTCTCAGAGAATCTGGGCTTCTTATAACTGTTTGGATTATCCATCAGAGGGAAGAGGAGGGAGGAGGATAGGAAAGATGCTTGAGGGAGGGAGAGAAAATTGATGGTGTAACTTCCTGGCCAAAAACACAGCCTTAAAATTGGATCTCAGTTTTTGAGTTTGAACAAACAAAATGGAACAGAAGGATTGTTTCCCTGGCTTATTGCAGTAACTACTCAAAGGGGAGATTTTTGTTCAGGGAAAATAGGCCCAAGATGTGAGATGATATTAAGGACAGAAGAAAGGAAAGAGAGAGAGGAAGAGAAATCCATTCCCAAAGCATGCTCAGGATAAGGTGGTCTTCTTTAGACCAAGACAATAGTTCAGTAGTGATGGAACAATTGTCTCAGCTTCCAAAAGAAACCACAGCAAATATCATGCATCATTCTGGAGCATGTGCTTTGTTTATTTAACCATTAAGTCATCATCAAGGACCAGCTCTCATTAGAATTTACTTGGTTTGTTGTTGTTGTTTTATCTTGTTCATTTAATTTTTTGGAGAGGTAACAGGCTCAGGTTTTTTTGTGTGTTGTTACTGCTTCTGTTTTTGCTTTGTATAAAACAAAAGAGCAGTCTCAAACGTTTCAGAATGAACAAAAATGAAAGCAAGTAGCTTAGTAGACCCCTTACACTTCTCTTTACACCCCCCCAACACCTTGGAGAGAATGAGGGGGTATTAATGAGAGAGCGAGAGATAGTGAGACCAATCTATACCAATCAGATCAAGTGCCTTACTTAGAAACAAAGCATTTCATCTAGGCCAGTGCACTTTTTTTTAAAGATTTTATTTATTTATCTTTAGAGGGGAAGGGAAGGAGAGAGGGAGAGAGACATCAGTGTATGGTTGCCTTTCGTGCGTCCCCTGCTGGGGACTGGCCTGCAGGGAACCTGCCTGCAACCCTGGCATGTGCCCTGACTGGGAATCAAACCTCGATTGTCTGGTTCGCAGGCCCACGCTCAATCCACTGAGCTACACCAGCCATGGCCAGTGCACTTTTTTAGTGGGCTCTCATGCCATGGTTTTCATTAAAGAATGCAGCAAATTCATCAATTTCAAATGAAGAGAAAAAGCTGCATATTTGCAACTGGGGAAGGGGAGAAAAAAATGTCTTGGGATGCTTCTCAGCACAGTGCTATGCACATAATAGTCACTCAGTAAATGTTAGTCAAGGAATGAATTTATTTATGTGGGGGTTACTTAACTCATTAGGGGACAAAAGTAAAACCCTATGCACAGAATATCTTTGAAATTTTAAGCCATTTCTATTTGATTTATGTCATTTTCCCTTTTAAAATGAAAGCTAAGTAGGACAATATTTGATGTTTTCCTCTTCTTTCCTTCTTCTTTGGTCACCTCATTCTGGTGTCTTTTAGACACTTGTCCTTAGCATTACTCGTTTTCCTCTTCACTGCTCTGCCTGTCATTTTTTAAGAAGTAAAAGACAATAGGACTAGGAAGTGGCCATAGAGCTTCCTATTAAAAAAAAGAAATGAAAAGCTGGTGAAATTAAACAAGAACGTAAAGCAAAGCATGTGACTGAATGTGCCAATCATGGCCACAAAGGATATTTTTTAAAATGCCTTGTCAATAAATGTATAAAATACAAACCGAAGACCCTCTTTCTTTAATACAGGACATTTAAGAAGTTTTAATGTATAATATAGATAAAAAATATATAAAATTTTTTAAAAGCCTTATTTTTGTTTCTGCAATTCCGCTATTTTACAAGGTATCCCAATTGATATACCAAGGAACCTATTGGTCATAATGGCTTATGATGCTACTGCTATATTTTTTAAGACTTCAGCTGATCAATTTAAGGGAACCACTCAGCAACATTTTAATATTTGGTTGCCAGGAATAAACCATAATTTCTTCTTAAGCATTTATTTAATTAAATTTGTTGCTAACCAAAAGAAAAACAATAGGGAGGAGTTCACTAGTACAGCATATGGGAGGGCACTGGGGCCCTTAGGGAGGGAAGTACTGTTAGCTTGAATTAAACTGTATCTCCTGTTTCCTTACTTAACGTTAGGCATGAAAACTGACTTTTATTTATTTTTTATTTATTTTTGCTGGGGTTACAAACAAAAGGATGCTTCTCATGATCAGTATAGACTCATTCTGCATTTAAGGTATATGTGTTTTATACCAAAACAGCATGGTAAAGCCATTTGAAGAAGCTATTGTAGTCACTCAACAACAGAGTGGGAAGCTATTATAGTCATCCAACAACAGCATGGGAGCAGGGGGGTGGCATGGGCAGTGGAGGGCTAAGGGGAAAAATTGGGACAACTGTAATAGAATAACAATAAAAATGATTAAATAATAACGAAGCTATTGTAGTCATCCATAAATGTGAGTTCCAAAAATGAAATTAAAATTCAGTTCTCTTTCACAAAAATGTTTTCCTTTTTCTCTTTCCTTTTCTTCAGTTTTATTGAAATATAATTGACAAATAAAATTATAAGATATTTAAAGGGAACAACTAATAATTTAAGATATGTATACATTGTGAAAGGATTCTTCCATCAAGTTAACAACACATCACATATTTCCCTTTTTTGGTGAGAACATGTAAGTTTTATTCTCTTAACCTTTTTTTAATGCTTTAGGAATGGTCTTTTGTTTTTAAAAAATTGACCCTATTTCAACTGTTGATAGGAAATAAGATGATTTGTCTTTTGTGTTTCTTTGTACCCTAGAAATCTTCATCAGACAGATTCCTGTTTCCTGAGAGTCATTACGTGATCAACTACAGGGATGAAAGTCTTCGAGGTGATGGGAAGGATGGTCATCCTCACCTCTGTGTTTTTACCTGTTCTGGGCAAAATCCAATGACTGTACTCTGCTCTATAGACTGGTTCATGGTTATGGTACACCCCTTCATGTTGAACAGCGACATATATATATACACTTTCATGAGTTACAATTGGGTCTGGGTTGTCCTGCCAACTATGTTCAGTCACATATCTGTAAGTTTACCTACTGTGTTACAGAATGTGGAATCAGGGCCAAGGCTGTCTCTCAAGATACAGTTATGTACAGCACTGAGATACATTATGCTTCAAAGTCTACCTCATCTAAATACACAATCCCAGTGTCATGCACTGCCCCTCAGCACTCCCCATGGCTCACTACTCCCTATTCCATGAAAGAAGCCAGCAAGATAGGAACCATAGCCCAGGATGGTGAGACAGTCTATGAGGTCATGGTACAGACAAAGGCCCAGCTGTGATTATCCACCTTATGTCCTCAATGAAGGAAAGCATATTCAGGCCCAACATCACCAAGTGGGGGCTCAGAAGGGCCATTCTGCACAGTCATCTTTTTTTGTAGATATTTCTGAGGATTGGTTTCTTTGCTCATATGACCTGCTTGAGTCCATGTAATCCCAGTTTGGGGTCTCCTGTTGATTCTCCTTCTAAAAGTAGTATATAATATTTACTAATATCAGGAAAATGTGTCCTTGTGGCCCTCGTATGAGGGCTTCTGAGAAACGACAGCCCATGTTAACTCTGTGAATACAGTTTTAAAAAATATTTTATATTTTTAAGAGCACAAATAAAGTTATGATGGCATGAAAATATCAGTTGGGTATTTTTATTTTATAAATATAAGTATAAAGCTTTTCTATGGGCCAGACATGGTTCTAAGTGCCTTTCAAACATTAGTGCCTGGTCATTTTTTTCTAGGATAACTTAACTCTCCTTTAAGGTCCATCCTCCTGTATCTTCATTTCACTTATACTCTGCAGCATTCAAAATAGTTCTTAGCTATATATCTTCTTAGTTTGATCTAAGGCCATATCATTTTTTATCCATTGGAGGCAAAGGTTGCATTAGTGATTTATAAGCCACAAATGATTCTACGAATAATTTCAAGTCACATCACACTAACTAGATGGTAAGCTACTGAGGCCAAAGGCCATATCTTATACTTTAGTCACAGATTGATAATACTTTGAGAGGAGTTTTGTGCCTCAACTTATGTGTTTGGAATATTTTCACTCAAGTTTGGCAATCCATTAGTTTTTTTCAAAGACTTGGATGGGGAAGGGTAAATAAATTTATTCAACAAATATTCATTGAGTACTGCTACATTCCAGTTGCCATTCTAGACACTGAGTATATAGTAGTGAATAGAAGCTAAGGCTTAGAAAAATTGAGGTCACACAGCTAGTAAACAAATAAACAAGTAAACAGTAATTTTGATAGCAACAAATGTCATGAAGAACTTAAAACACAATAATATTAGAGAATTTGGAAAATGGGTTGGAGAGTCATGGAAGGCTTCTGAGGTCTTGTCATTTGAAATGAGTCTTGAATGTGAAGAAAGAGCCATCCCTGGTATGATCTGAGAAGGAACATTCCACCATCTCATTTAATCCTAAGTACAACCCTGAGAAAAGTACTCTTATTATATCCATTTTACAAATAAGGAACCTAATGCTCTGGCTGGTGTAGCTCAGGGGATTGAGCTCAGGCCTGTGAACCAGAGGATCATGGTTCAATTCCCAGTCAGGGCACATGCCTGGGTTGCAGGCCAGTTCCCAGCAGGGGATACATGAGAGGCAACCATATACTGATATTTCTCTCCCTCTCTCCTTTTCCTCTAAAGATAAATAAATACAAAACATTTAAAAATAAATAAGGAACCTAAGGCACAAAATGATTAAGAAACTTGCCCAAGACCACAACCCTGTTAAGAAACAGACAATGTTAGCACAATGTACATGATGATATACACATAAAGTGTTTCAGTAGATGAGTAACCGTTAGAAATTCAGTCATTATCTTAGTCATTTGGGCTGCTATAACAAAGTACCATAGACTAAATAGTTCATTTAAAAAAACAGACATTTATTCTCATGGGTTTAGGGGTTGGAAATTCTAGACCAGGGTACCAGTATGGTCAGGTTCTGGTAAGGGTCATCTTCTGGGTTACAAACTGCTATTTTCTGGTTATGGAAAGGTAACTAGAGACCTCTCTAGAAGCCCTTTTATAAGGGTGCTAATCCCATTCACGAGGGCCTCATCCTCATTACTTAATCACCTTCCAGAGACCCATCTCCTAATACCATGGGGTGAGGATTTCAACACATGAATCTTGAAGTGGACACAAACTTTCACTCCATTGTAGTCGTGGTAGTTGAAGAAACACAGTTGTTCACTTTAAATTTTTCTGTTCCTTTTAGAGAAAAACCAGATAATAATCTCTGAAAACAGTGTATTAATTTAAAAAATGTTTGGAGTTTGTCCTATGTGCCAGGCATTATGTTAGATGCTAAGTATGCAATAGGAAACAAGACTAATGCAGTCTAATAAGGAGGAGACAAGTAAAGAAACCTGAAGACCTAGAGGCTATTCCAGCTCAGGAAATGGGCTTATACAAAGACATAAAGATCTGGGCTGTGATAATCAGAAAAACTTCGAGTAGTTTAGTCCAATACAATGAGGGCACAGTTGGTGGTGGTGAAAATGGGGCTAGAAAAGTAGTAGTATACATGACTATGTACACAAGAACTAGCACTTCACTTCCCCATCTTCTCTTCAGAAGCTCACAGATTATTAAACACTGAAATACATATAAATAACTTAGCAAACAATCAATACTAAACATATTAGACCTGGAGTGTCATATACAAGTTGCGAATTTCATAACTGCAAGGGGCAATAATCACAAAGACACCCCCTGAGGTGTAATGTATCAGGCATAGAGGAGACTCAAGAGCTATGTGGTAATAATAGTCATTACCATGTGCCAGACATACTATATACATAATTTCATTTAATACTCATAACAACTATGCAAGATAAAAATATTTACTCATGTTTATGAATGAGAAAACTAAAGCTCAGAAAAATTGAGGCCGCACAGTTAATAACATCACTGGGATTCTAATCTAGGTTTGTCTAGCCCCAAAGTCCACTTTCCCCCTATATTCAACACTCCCTCCCAGTGTACAGAAACCTCCAGTTGGGTTGGAAGATCCACAAAGGTTTTCCACTAAAGGTGGGCAATGACCCCACTCTTAGAAGACAGGGAGAATTTGGCTAAACATAGAAAGGAAGAATAGCATTCTTTGTGAGCATAAACACTGGGAACAGGGTAGAGAAGTGTACTGTGTTGGAGGGAGGACACTTAGGGGGTTATTGCTCTAAAATAGGTGGGAGGAGATGAAGAAAGCAGGTGGGGGAAGGAGTAGAATTGTAGGAGGAGATAAAAATGAGTTCCCTGGCTGGTGTGGCTCAGGGTTGAGTTCTGGCCTGTGAACCAAAGAGTCGCTGGTTTGATTCCCAGCCAGGGCACATGCCTGTGTTATGAGTCAGGTCTCCAACAGGGGACGCATGAGAGGCAACCACACAAATGATGTTTCTCTCCTTCTATTTCTCCCTTCCTCTCTCTAAAAATAAATATTTTTTAAAATGAGAACCACTTCAAGTAAATAACAGCAGGACTTTATTTTAGCCTACAAACCAGTTAAATATGTACATAAGACTCATTCATAATTAAGACAAAAATTTGGAGTATGGAAAACTCCAGGACCTGGAGCAGAGAGGACAGGTTTCATGAATGGCACAAGACTTGAACTAAATAAACCCTGATCTATCTGACTGGGTATATGTGAAAAAGAAGAGATTGAATCAAAAAAGATATCACCATTTAGAGCCTGAGAAGGTCAGAAGACATGGTAAGCTCTGCATTTAAGAAAATTAGCATGAATGTAGAGGATAGAGATGCAGATGAGTCAGGGTTAGACATGTTGAGTGTGAGATGATAGTGACATCCAAGTGGATATGTGCAGGAATTAGCTCTAGAAATAGAACTTGGCGTAGAAGCTCTAGAAATTGGAGCTGGAGCTTGAGTAAGGGGTGTAAAGGATAATTACTGGGAGAAAAAGTCTTGAGATCACATGAATACAGGCAATAAGGGTCACAGAATCCAAATCTTCAAGGCATAGTTAGGAAAAGGAGAAAAACAAGTGGGGACAGAAGTGATCAAAAGGTAAAAGGCATATGCTCATGGAATTCTTGGGTGAAGAGCTGGGTGGACTATATTTTCCAGTGCAATGGCTAAGTCAAAATAGAGCACACCTAGGCATCATGAAATTGGAAGTCTTCAAACTAGACTTTAAATGAGAGATAGAATTTCATCAGGTGCAGTTGGAGGGGAAGAGCATTCTAAGCAATGGAAATGCAACAACGAAGATGCAAAACAATATTATAATTAAGAACTATATTGTGCCTGGGTAAACATCTCTGTATGATCAGGCATAATTTTTTTAATATACAAGAGTATTCTACACTTACTAAGTTGGACAAGTAATCACTTAGTAAAAGAGTTCTTCAACCATTTCAGTTGCATGTTTGATCTTTTCCACTTGAATGTGTGTCTCTTGAGCAGGGAAGACCCTCTCCTCTTTGTTTGCCAGTTGCATTGTTTTGGCTTTCTCTTACATAGTACTTGATAAAGGTATTCAGTAGGTACTCAATTCATTTGATGGACTAGCTGACTATTACTGAGAAAGGGCCTGGGAATTCATAAGCATAGGAACCATTCAAAAGATGAGAAGATAGCCATGGCTGGTGTGGCTCAGTGAATTGAGAGCCAGCCTGTAAACTGAAGGGTCATCAGTTTGATTCTCAGTCTGGGCATATGCCTGGGTTGCAGGCCAGGTCCCCAGTAGTGGGCACATGAGAGGCAACCACACACTAATGTTTTTCTCCCTCTTTTTCTCCCTCCCTTCATGTCTCTAAAAATAAATATATAAAATCTTTAAAAAATTAAATAAATAGACTTCCAGCCAAGATTGAAGTGCAGGTAAACACACTGTGTCTTCTCTCACGACCATAAGAAGGACAACAACAAATTTAAAAACAAAAACCAACCGGAACTGACAGAAAATTGAACTGTATGGAAGTCTTACAACCAAGCACTTAAAGGAGAAACATTTATCCAGACTGGGGGAGAAGGGCAGGGCAGATGGGATGGAAAAGACTCATGGCAAGGTGGTGGCTGGTAAACCAGGAGATGCAGCAGCTTGCATACTGGGCAGTCCCACATTCGTGTGCATATAAAATGGCAAAAACAACTGGGGATTGAGATAGACCACCCAACCCAGGGTTCCAGCACAGGGAAATAAAGCCTCAAAGCCTCTTACTAAAAATACCTGTCGGGGTTGAGGCGGCAGTGGGAGAAACTCCCAGCCTCACAGGAGAGTTAACTGGAGAGACCCACAAGGTCCCAGAACATACACAAACCCACCCACCCAGGAGTCAGCACCAGAAGGGCCCAATTTGATTGTGGTAGTGGGCGAAGTGACTGAAAACTGGCAGAGAGCGGAGAAAGTGGCACTGTTCCCTCTCAGACCCCTTCCCCACATACAGAG